GAAAGAAGTGCGGCAAGCAAAATGCGGAGAAAAAGGTGAAAGAAGAAAAAAAGTAAGATTTCGATGTATCATAACTGGACCTGCTCTTACACTGATCCAAACTGTGTAAAATGCGTTTTGCAGGAAGCGCTTGGGTTTTTAAGAAGGAAAAAATATAACGGAATTACAATTTACAATTTACGATCTTCCAAGTTTACAAACAAGTCGTATGAGTAGCGCTTGCAGGAAACTAAAGAGTGGTTACTTATTCAAGCGCAGTTTGTAGACTGAGCCATAAACGATCCCGTACTATTGGTACATTCTACTCAGACGAGTTCTTTGCACAAAAAGTAGCAAAACCAGGTTCCATACATAGTTATGTAATCGAAAAGGTCACAAAAAGAAGCGCGCTTTTCAAAGCCGGAACGCATGAAAATATCTACGCAGATGTTCATCGCTAACTTTTGAAATGAGTCACCTGCTCAGCTGACGGTCACTTGAAGGTCAATTCGAAGGATTCATACGCTTCGCACCAACAAGGCAAGAGAACATTGTTATTCCAAAACTCACAAACGAGTTCTAGGGAAACCCATAAACCATCACAAGCCATAACAATTTGGTCAAGACGCTGTTGAAGGTTATTCAAAGCCAAATTAGTGATCTTTGCTCATCATATGTTTCCGTAGGGACGTTGTAATCTTGCGTAAAATCAAGAGGTAGTCATGATCCAGCAATCACAGGTTATCGCTCGGTTAAAGTAATAAAAGCGAAAAAGGAAACTCCTTACATCACCTCCTCACTGAATAATAATAGCTACAATGTGTGTTTTAATTTGTTCGACAAGCTCCCTAGTCAGTGGCGGATAGAGGCGGCGGCCTTCCCAGGAATGAGTCGCGGAATTTTTGGTGGTAGCCTATATATGAGTTATAAAATTGTGCAAGCGACTCATTTTCACTTGCAAGTAATTGAGATAATCTTCGAAGTTTTCAATTTCAAATTGCGCAGCCATACCCCTTTTCTTTGTATTCGGGTCGATGGGTCGGCTAAAATTTCGGAAGGCACCTCAAAGATTCTTTAGAAGGAAGTGGCTGATGCCACTCTCCTGCATTCGATCAGATCTCTTGCCTCCTCCCTCTCGAGAAAAGATTCTTGGTCTACCAGTGCTTCTAGTGTACAACAAGAACACAGTGGAAAGTCCATTTTGACGAACCAGTAGCTCTTTTTTTTTCGGGATCAGAAACTTTCCGACGAGTACTGCCTTATGTCACACAAGAAGAAGTTGGTGGATGAGCAACGACGAGAACAGGCATAAAATCCTGATAATCTTTGCCCAAGAGTACCAAGGAAGGGTGGTGCTATATAGTTAGGTAGTTGGAACTTGACGAATTTTCTGCAGGGCGTTAGTTCAGCTTTGTCATGAAATTAGTTTATAGTTTAAAATTTACCCGTCCGAAGAGTCTGTATTCACTACAAATGACATTTGACGAGTACAGCTTCATTTGACAAAAGTAAGTCTCTTATCCCATTCTACCATGCTTCTCAGAGTAAAAATACTAACAGATGTTCCACCGTTTTTTTTCAGTTGACCGTTTTTTTGCTGGATAGACCATGCAAGTGTTTACCGGTAGCGTTCTACTACAAAGTCCGGCAAACCCATGTGGAACAGCTGTTGGGAGAAACCGAACCACATGATGCCTACCATTATGACGTGAAGGTTTACTACCTTCAAGATCGTATGAAAGTATTTGCTTGAAGTGTAACAAAAATCATCATCTTCTGAAACGATTTCAACGGGAGTTTAAACGAAGGGGATTGAATCATAATTGCTCAGAAAGTACCCTGATTTCAGTACGCGTACAAGGCGCATCTTTTTCGATTTTTCAAGTGAGATGCTCTGCCTTTTATTGTTTTTTCGGTGAACGATCATTATTCAAGCAATATACGCACGTTATAGGTTTGGTTGTGAAGTCCTTCAGCGTGTTTGGGCTGGTCGATTTTGAAAATGAATATCCCCCGCGCCTTGTAAGCGTGAAAGTAGGGTAGTATATTGCCGTGTGATACATAATCTCTACTTTGTAGAGACGGGCGCATCGTTAGCCACGGCCTCCAAGAAAATTTTCGGAAAGCTTTTATTATATCTGTCTACAGCTCAAAATGTTCTGTAAAGGAGAGCATGGAGCCATAGTCCCCGAAAAAAAATTTTTTTAAGGCAGGGTAGTCCAGATAAGCATTGAGATGGCTTTGCAAGATAGAATTGCTGCAAAATCAAATCAGCTTATTCTTCGTTCTTTTGTGTGAATAGTTACCACAGTTGGCGAAAACAGTGCATTACATGAAAACCAATATTATGTGCGCGAAAAAATTTGAATTTTGGGGAATGCTAGGAGTATAGCACAATCTGCGTAAACTGTGGCGCAACCTAATAATATGACACATCTCAGGGTAGCCGTATGATCAACTCCATTACCAGCGGTGAACGAAATTGTGGTATATTTGGGTTGCGCCCTTTGGACGCATCGCTAGGTGAGGGCTATACTTTTGAAGTACTGGTGGCCAAGACTGATTTTACTTGCAAAGCTTTCAACTTGAAACTCTGTCAAGGTGTAAACAGCTGTGAAAACTGATCATAAATACTTTCACTGTCCAGACAACAAGTCACTTTGGCTCGCTAGAAATAATTCATTGATTTTTAGTTAGCGGATTACCATGTCTATGAGTCTCATAAACCTCTCTCTATGCCTAGTACAAAAGCGGTCAAGGGCATAGATTGCTAGCACTATTACACTTGACCCTGCGATCTTTCCAGATGAAACTTCAATCCGCCGACGTGAATATGCAAAGCGATAATATTCTGCATTGAACGACAAGTAGAGCTGAAATTCAGCACAATCAAAATTTTTTAAAACATGTACGGAAGTGCAAATCGTTGGAATTTAACAGCTGACTAGAAAATCTGGAGCCGACACATGTTTGCGTAACATGCTGTCTTATGCATATTGCTTTCTTTGATGAATGGATAGGTGCAAGGTTTGAGCACAAAGAACTGACCGAACTTTGTTGTCATAAATCTTGTGATAGTCGGCAACACTTTTACGTCACTGTAAAGCGTAGCTAGAACCGCAGAAAAAAACTTACTCATTTTAAACAACAACTGTGCGAGAAACTTGTTTGCCCAGGGGTTTGACTTTGGTAACCTTCACCTAAAATGTAACACATGGTCAGATAAGGCTGATAGATGTATATCCAGGATTGTGAGCTTCCGAACTTCTTTCCTCTCCAGTGGCAAATGCCCTCTTCATGAGCATGAAGAGTAAAACCGCTGACTGCTTCCTATAGTTACGGTTATGAAAACACCTTTTCAGAAAACCTACCTGAATGAACGAAAACCTAAAGACGCTCTTAATTTTTGCCACTTTCCTGAGAGAAACTTTTGCAGTTGGTATTAATGATGGGAGGATGAGAAAATGCTGAATTCAAGTCGTCCGCTTTCAATGACACACAATGACACGCTTTCAATATGTATGCCAGAATATAACTGAATGAAAATAAGTACCATGAAACTGAAGATTTTTAACTTGTTTGAGTTACGGTAACAAATGATTACAATTTATTTTTGTGGCCGGTCACTACTGAACAGACAAGCAGATGGCGCCAGCACATTTTGTGAGAATTTACTGCAAGGAATCTTTGACCGCGAGTCCGCGAACGTAAGTCACCAAACATCTCCGGGGAAATTGGGACGATTACTGTTGGGTATCGTCGCCAACCGTTGTTGCTCACGAACATAAGAAAGTGAGGTTTAGGATAGTGATGTGTGATTTCTTACAAATAGTTGGTGAAATGAATCATCGGCGATAAATTATAGATCAGTTCTCGAGGATACCAATTGAATTATAACAAATTTGGTGTTCATTTCTTGGGACGAAGCGGATTTGCTCGAGTTGATGCTTTCTAAAACCCGCAAAACGAGGAGGGGGGAGGGGGTAAGGCATCTGTATCAGGGCATCTGTCTCACAAGGAAAGCAAGGTGGGTCGAAGTGGCCTTTTGAAATGAGATGTATACGGCCTTGTAGAGCTTGGAACGCTGATTCCAAATCTACCTTTGCTATCTGCTGCGGGCATTTGGGCGAGGAGTTATGAAGGTTTTTGTGAGTAAAAATCTGAATTTAAAAGTAGGCTAAAATTAGTCGTAACATTTTTTATAGGGCTTAATTGATAGTCGGGTCACTCGTGCAACAAATATTCTTGATTCAATATACCAGTTCGCTGCTGCCTCATTTGAACATTGGGAAAAGGTTACGACTGATTTTACCCTATTTTTGCATTCAGATTTTTACTCACAAAAACCTTCATAACTCCTCGCCTAGAAGCTCGCAGCAGATAGCGAAGGTAGATTTGGAATCAGCGTTCTAAGCTCTCATTTCAAAAAGCCACTTCGACCAACCTTCCTTCCCTTGTCAGTCTCCTACTGTGAGAGGCATAGAAGTGGTCCTTTCACGTTCGACAAATTTTTTTTATGTATCTAATTATCAGAACTGTCGGTACGAGTTATCAACCACACAGATCGTATTTATAACAGCAAAACTTTGAAGAATGGAAATTTTCTTAGTTGTCTTCACTCACGAAGATGAAGGCATTTTACAAGTGCTCACATTAGATCCCTATCTGAAACTTATTAATCTGTAGCATTTCAGGAGGCTTTTATGCAAGACTCGATAAAAGTCCTAAAAGGTCTTTATGGCAGGGAAGCTTGTTTAGTCTAAGATAATGATGTTTTTCTATGGTGATCTTTCATTCCAACTGATGTGATTCTAACGTTCGGTCTACTCCGCATGAATGTCGACCATGCTCAAGCACAACCACTCATCGAGAAAGTCTGATGCAAACCGGATTAGGAAATCTGCAATGCGACAATGACGCGTCAGCACTGCAGAGCGATTTCCTGCTCCATTGCGATTTGCGTGCTCTATTGCGCGAAATACCGTAATCAAGTTTGGGGCGAACGATCCTTTAATGTCATCATTTGAACAAGATCCGTGTGCATCAGCGAGTTTGCTGATTGTCGTCGGTTTGATTGCGAATTTTTTCTCTTGCTGTCGAAATGGCTGCGATACCCACGTAAGTTTAACGAGTTTGTATCTTTTTTGCGTTCACACTATCAGTATTCACTTGCAGTGTCAAAGATGAAAAAGAAAAGCGGAATGAGGCACTTGCCACTGCAATTCTGAAGGATAAGATGAAGCCGAATCGTCTGATAGTTGACCAGAGTGACAAAGATGACAACTCCATTATCGCCCTCAGCCAAGCAAAGATGGACGAGCTGGCACTTTTCCGTGGAGATACAGTTGTATTGAAGGTAATCTCACTAAACTTTGTCATTCTTCGACTTTGAAGGAGCTTGGTGATCTCGCTATGATCATCTTTCAAATTGGTGTGTTGGCATGGATTTTTCGCGGAGGAAGTTGCTAGCTAAATGATTACATCATCACTTTTTACTCATATTAGAGCTTTTGTAAGCTGACTATAAGAGACGGAGCGAACGAAAGAAAGCTTGAGGATGCAATAACAATGTACATGTGGACAGTGTTCCTTTGATTCGGTAAAGTGAAATCTGAGTACTTTCTCTGGCTGGGACTTTCTGAGAATTGGGGAGGGAGTTCTACGTTGGAGGTAGGATCCAAATTCTTTGTTTTGTCAGTCTTGGATAGTCTCATGATAGTGAGGCATGTCAAAGCAGCGATGGATCTATCGTTTTTAGTGTTTAAAAATATCGAGTCGCACTCTTTTCTGTTCAGGGAAAGAAGAGAAAGGAAACCGTTGCTATAGTGCTTGCCGACGATAACTGTCCCAACGATAAGATCAGAATGAATCGGGTTGTACGTCACAACTTACGCGTCCGGCTTGGGGATGTCGTCAGGTGAGTCATTGAATCGGATTACGAAATATCGCTTCTTGGGAAGCTTGTCTCGAGTTGCTCTCAAATCGTTTGGCACTTAGAAGGGGAGTGGTAACATCCTGAGGAATGTTGTTGTTTTATTGGTCATAACATGCGGTGTAGCGACTGCGGACGATTGTTCCGGTAATCACTTCCATAAATGATAGTAAGAGGTATTTTGATGAGCAAATGACGATTTCCAAATCTTGAGAGTTTCGAATTTGGGCGCAGTCAGTTTTTTCAGTCAGTGCCGTTGTCATAACTACATGTCGACATAGCACTAGCTTGTCACATATCAAATAATGAAGTGGGCCACTTACTAAAAAAATGAGGTGGGAATTTCCTCATTTTCCCGTTTTTAGCAGATTTGGAGAAGGCTGTAGGTGAAGGCTGGATGTTAAAAATCAGTGACATATAACACTTCAAGCTTCTGTAGTGTGAAATGTCTTGATCAGTAGAAAAAGGTTGTTAGGTGGTGGATGTTTGACCCAGTTTGTCCGGATTGTACCGAGACTCGATTCTAAGAAGACTTTTCATTGAACTAGTTGCGACGTCCTAGGGAATATTAGTTTTCAAAACTCTTCATGAAATTTCGGAATTTGGATGCGTACATCTTCGGCTTCTAGTTGGAATCTGTAGGAATATGGGAATTTTTCAGCGTCACTGCCGCGCCAAACATCGGCTACGGTAAACGAGTGCACGTGCTGCCACTGGACGACACTGTTGAAGGACTTACTGGGTAAAGATAACTACAACTAATTTGCAAATGCTATCATTCATCCGTTTTAGCAACTTGTTCGAAGTTTTCTTGAAGCCCTACTTTGTTGAGGCGTACAGGCCTCTTCACAAAGGAGATATTTTCACTGTACAAGCAGCGATGCGTACTGTCGAATTCAAGGTATTAGTGTTTACGACATATCAAAAACAATGCTAAATTAGTAGTTGTAGGTGGTTGAAACGGATCCATCGCCGTCATGCATTGTTGCGCCGGATACTGTAATACATTATGAAGGTGAAGCGATTAAGCGTGAGGAAGAAGAGGAAAATATGAATGATGTTGGATACGACGATATTGGCGGCGTAAGTTTCTTTACGTTGGTGCTCTATGTCAAACTTCTCGCATTCGTTTGTGTAAGACCCATTTAATATGAGAAATTTAGGTCCGAAAGCAACTGGCACAGATCAAGGAAATGGTCGAGCTTCCACTCCGTCATCCTCAGTTGTTCAAAGCTATCGGTATCAAGCCACCCCGAGGCATCCTGTTGTTTGGACCTCCTGGTACCGGTAAGACACTGATAGCTAGAGCTGTTGCGAACGAAACTGGAGCGTTCTTCTTCCTTCTGAATGGTGAGCTAGAGATTCCATTAAAGAAGTGGGACTAAATCGATTTGCTTTGTTCAAGGACCGGAAATCATGTCCAAATTGGCTGGAGAATCCGAATCTAATCTAAGAAAGGCATTTGAGGAATGCGAGAAGAACTCACCCGCTATCTTGTTCATTGACGAAATTGACGCAATCGCACCGAAACGTGAAAAGGTTAGTGATAAATTTGGTACCAGGTGGGTCTGCATGCTTTTTGTCTATTTTCAGACTCACGGAGAAGTTGAGCGCCGTATTGTCTCCCAGTTGCTCACTTTAATGGACGGGCTCAAGCAAAGATCTCATGTAGTAGTTATTGCAGCCACAAATAGACCAAACTCCATTGATGCAGCTCTGAGACGGTTCGGTCGCTTTGACAGGTTTGTCAGCATATTCAGCTATCGTTATCACGAGCAGCAGGTTGCTCATTTAGTCGATTGCAGTAGAGTCCTACTTGGAAAAACCCGGTCTGAGCATCTGAATCGATGTACTCAGAGTTAAGATTATGTCATATTTTGAGCCATATTGGCTTTCTTCACGTTTGGCATATCAGGTGCACTCACTCTCCAATATCTTCTATAGGCTGCTGTATGACGAAGGCGCAAAATCTTAAGCGCGAACGCGGCTTCATTAGCAGCAGAGCGCATGAGAAGCAGCATTTGCAACGGTGAAGTTACGCGCGCCATGCGTTCGCACCCGCTCAACTACTACTGCTTTTGCGCCTTGCCATGCAGTAGCCTTTACAATACTTTGTATTTGGAGATCCAGTAATCTGGTCACTGTGTTCACGCGATACTCACTGTCGCAATTTTTATAACAGAAAATTCCTTGCAGAGAAATTGATATCGGTATTCCTGACGCCGTCGGACGTCTTGAGGTGCTTCGCATCCACACGAAGAACATGAAGCTAGCTGACGACGTTGATCTAGAGCAAATCGCCAACGAGTGCCACGGCTACGTTGGCGCCGACTTGGCTTCTTTGTGCTCGGAGGCTGCCCTTCAACAAATCCGAGAGAAAATGGAGTTGATCGATCTCGAGGACGAGACCATCGATGCTGAAGTGTTGAACTCACTTGCTGTGACAATGGAGAACTTTAGGGTAAGTAAACTTGTCTGTATTCGGACCCAACTAACTTGCTGACTTTATAGTTTGCCATGGGTAAATCATCTCCGTCTGCTCTGCGTGAGACCGTCGTTGAAACGCCCAACATCACATGGGACGATATCGGAGGTCAGTGTAATCAAGAACTGTTTGACTCCTATATTAATCTGATAAGAAGCTCAAGATTATTTGCTCTTTGAAATTTAACACTCTCTGGTTCCGCTTTTGCGGGTGTCTGTTGGTGTTGCTTTGGCCTCCCAAATGTTATGCTTTTAACTGTGCTGCTGATATCTTTCCTCAGTTCAGGTTTGCAAAATGTCAAGAGAGAGCTGCAGGAGCTGGTACAGTACCCAGTCGAACATCCGGAGAAGTATGTCAAATTTGGAATGCAACCTTCCAGAGGTGTATTGTTCTACGGTCCTCCGGGATGCGGTAAAACGCTTTTGGCTAAGGCTATAGCCCACGAATGCCAGGCCAACTTCATCTCTATTAAGGTAGACATATGAAATTTGATTTTGCGTTTCTAATATAACGTTGAATTCGAACAGGGACCTGAACTTCTTACCATGTGGTTTGGTGAATCCGAAGCCAACGTCCGTGATGTATTCGACAAAGCTCGTGCTGCAGCGCCCTGTGTCTTGTTCTTTGACGAGTTGGATTCAATCGCGAAAGCTCGTGGAGGTTCGTACATATAACAGCATTTCATTAAAAATGGTGGTATATTTCTGTTTAGGTACTGCTGGCGATGCTGGAGGCGCAGCCGATCGTGTAATCAATCAAATCCTTACTGAAATGGATGGTATGAACTCCAAGAAAAACGTTTTCATCATTGGAGCTACGAACAGGTAGATGGGTTGTCCACGCAGAACTCCTCATTACCTCATTGATTACAGACCAGACATTATCGATTCCGCTATCCTACGTCCAGGTCGTCTTGACCAACTGATTTATATCCCACTTCCTGACGAGGCTTCGCGACTGCAGATTTTCAAGGTATTCTAGAGGATCCAAATTTCAAATTTCAAAACTGTTTGTAGGCCAATCTTCGAAAAACGCCTGTAGCCAAAGATGTTGATATGACATTCCTGTCAAAGAGTACTGTTGGATTCTCTGGTGCTGATCTTACGGAAATCTGCCAGAGGTTTGTACCACTCTGCTTGTAGTTTCAAGCTTCTTTGATGCTTACAATTCAAACGACTTCAGATAAGGGTCATGTTTCTGTTGACTGCATTTTTGTTTTAGGGCATGCAAACTCGCTATCCGAGAGTCGATTGAGAAGGAGATCAAGATCGAGAAAGATAGGCAAGAGCGACGCGCTCGTGGTGAAGAACTCATGGAAGATGAGGCTTACGATCCAGTGCCAGAGATCACTCGTGCCCACTTTGAAGAGGCCATGAAGTTCGCTCGAAGATCTGTCTCTGACAACGATATTAGAAAGTAAGCTTATGCTGCTCAATCAATGCTCTCATAGTAAGCTTAGTTTGATTTATCTTCTTTATATAAGGTTCTGGTAAGGTTCTCAGGAGGTGCATTTCCCTCAGGAAACCCTCCAATCAATGATAGGTAGAGCTTTGGCGCTGCACCAAGCACCACGCCATTCTTTCCAATATTTTTGCGGTAAGAAGAGTGTTCTAGAAGTCACACGTGATTATCATATCCAACGCATTTTTGGGCTTGTTCTATTCTTTGCGGTGTGAAAACGTTTTTGATTCTGAAGCTGTTCCTGCTTCTGGGCTCAAAAAAAAAACAACAAAAATTCGGGAAGTCGAAAAGATAGATTGTTTGATTGGACACTTGCTCACAGGGTAATTTATAAGATCACTAGTGATTAGTCAACGAAGTTGAAGAGAAGGCTTCGATCAATCACACTCTCTGCCAAGTTTTATGATGTCATCCTAATGGGTGTGCTCTTCAGATACGAGATGTTCGCGCAAACCCTGCAACAGCAGAGAGGATTTGGAAATAACTTCAAATTCCCTGGTGAGCAACCCAACCCCAACCAGCCATCTGGAGTTCCTGTCGGAGGAAATGATGATGATGATCTTTACAGTTAAATTCTCTGTAAGCAAAACTTTTGTAACAACTTAAGTTATTTATGTCTTATTCATGTCCTCCAGTAATAGCTCCTAAACCATTTACTGTTTTACTTGAAGTTATCGACTCTCTTCATTCACATTGTGCACTTTTTTTCTTAAATTAGAGTCGAAGTATCACCGAACGGGGCGTTCTAGATACATGGTGGTACAGATGGTTGCATGTGTTGTAAATTAAAGTGTGCAGTTTTCTTTTAATGAACTTTTTAACATCGTTTGTTCTATACTAACGCTGTTCTTTCTGAATTGTTTGGCTCAACACCTATGTTAAAGGCAGTGGATCGGCAAAATCCAACAACACGGGATTCTAACGCGGCAGGTTCCTTATCGCCCAACTATGAAAACAATGCAATCCTGGTTGCACAGCATGCTTTCCCTGCCGAGAAAATCGCACACGCATCTGGACGAGTTGGCAGTTTCCTTCTCACCATTGGAGGCTGCCCGCCGCAACGCTATAACCATTGGGTCCTGCCACGATTTAGCGTCATCGGCCTTGCTACACTCGTCCAATATCAAAGGGAAGGGCATTGAAAAACGCTCATTTTCGCCGTTTTCAAGCTTTCAAAAGTGGATTTTCGGGATCAGCGTATTGAAAAACCCAAGGTAAGCGCAAATTTGACTAGATTGAGATTTGCCGAGCCATTGCCTTTAAGTTATTGCAGCCATTCGAGATGACAACAGTGGTGCATGCGAAATTAGGTTTCGAACAAACTTGACAACTCTCAACGTCAAAATTCCAACCAATCTATTGGTATTCGCTGCGCGTCTCTGTATGCCGAGTTATGTTTCCAAAATGAAAACTGGATGTGAATAGAGTCGCCACCACGGCTCTTAGCTCTCAAATAAGATTTGGGTGCGAGTGCGTTAGAAAGGGGAACGGCAGGAGGTACGATCGACGCGAATTTTTCCCGAGGCGACACCGCAGCGCTCAGCCAATGCAAAGCAGCCCTCCTGGCGTAGTACTACTTGGCTCTGAGTCTATCTGCCCTCACCCCCTGTTTTTTGGCGCAGGAAATCTCCAATGGTGGAGAGTGGGTGGAGGACTATATGTTGCCGAATGTGGAAGAGTCCCCCGCGGATTTCCGGCAGGAACGCATGTCCGCGCATGTACAAGGGTGCGTATTTGTCGCAAATGACCTCGGGGATCGCCCTTTCGACATATAGTTCCTCTACCCACAGAGAGTTTTGTGGGTTTCAAGATTTGAACTTGGGTGCGCGACGAAGCAGTTGCTGCGGGTGGCGTACCTCCTAATGCGCAGTCCGTTAGAAAGTGCTCGATACATAGAGTGCTTTGATATGTAACACTACCTTATCTGAAGGATCTGAATGTTTTTGTTTTGAATGCACCTTCAATTTTTTTGTCCAAAAACGCTTATAGTTCAGTGTTCGGTGGCAGCAAATAACAATTTGGAATCTACAGATTTGAAATCGCGTCTATGTTCTCCAAAACGGCATGGACTTCATTTGAAAGACCACTTCGACTGACACTCAGGGCCCGGCACAGATCGTCTGGAAGCAGGATAGACTTCGTTATTGGAGAAAAAGCAAAGGAGATATCTTTGTTGACGAATCGAGACCGAGGCACCACGAATAAGCGCCATTTAGTCCAACGCAAGCTTTTCGGACAGGTTATAACACGATTGACATGCTCTATCGTGTATGGCGAAAAGTGCGTGATTCGAAAGCAAGACTAAAATGAGGAAATTGCTTGTTTACAGCGCACACAGAATCGTATGACACCAAAATTGAGCCGTATACATAGAAATTTATCTGCAAAAAGATTATGTGAAAAGATTTGAAAACAAAATTATTCCGTCTCCAGACGGTCACCAGGCGATCTGAGACTGTCTGGAGCATCAGTTTTGGATTTTTCTATCATAGACGGATTTCTCGGTCAAAAATCTATCCCTGATCATGAAGAACTTTCATATCATTCATTGCCTTTCCCTTGTTTTTTGCCTTAATTTCTTCATAAATCGCTTTGTTAAATATCGCGCTCCAATGCCAAACTCTTGAGCATGATATAATCAGGCACGATTTGGATTTTACTCTTACCTGTGTTTTTTCTTCCACATTAGTAAGTTTTTCTTGTTTTCATCTCCTCCTAACAAAAGAAAAAGGTTTTTTGAAATACTCCGTTTCGTTCCTTCCCTTATCGAGCATGGATAATGTAAGCGGGGGTGAGGGACTATATGTCGCCGAATTTGGAAGAGTCCGCGCGGATTCCCTGCAGGAACGCATGTGCGCATGTACAAGAGTGCGTATTTGTCGCAAATGACCGCGGGGACCGCCCTTTTTCGGCGACATATAGTCATCTACCCGGTAAGCGGCTCAATGACAGAGCTTCTCATGTTGTCTCACTCGTGATCGTGCTCATAATCTTCCTTGTCAGCTAATTTCTTTGTCACTCTTGAAAAGATAAGGCAGCATTTCAAAGTACAAAGATTAATAATGACAGGGCTAGCACTATTCAAGCTACAAACCAATATATTATCTAATTCGGTTGGAACATTCTTGCACCAAAAGGCTCTGGATTCGTGTTCTTTTACATTCCAGGAAATTCTCTATAAAATGGTCGTAGGAAGCGCCGTCTTTGATTCACGCCAAGTTTGGAGCTAAAAGGATTGGAAAGTCATAGAAAAAGATTGGAGCTCCTCCCAAAAATTTTTTTACGGAAGTCGTAGTTGCTCACGCATATCCATCACACATTTAACTTTGATATTTGCAGTAGCCGTATTTTTGAATCGGCTAGAGATCGGGAAACAAAACTTTCTATTTTGTTCCAAGCCAAGCCAGTCTCTAGCCTCTCCAATCCAAGTAGGTAGATCAAAGAGGACTTCGTAAAACTTGCGAAAGTCAGAAGAGACTTCGTTTTCAGAAACCTTAGAAACCGACTCGTGTCGGGCCCTGCTGACATTTGTTTTGTAAGCTTGGTCGTCACCTTCTAGTAACACTTTGCATACACTCTTGGACCCATACGCGTGATGCATATCTCCTGTAGCATCATTTTTCACAAGAAAACAGAAGTCCTAAATGACTGTTTTCGGCAATAGTATGTTTTCATTATGCCATCAAAATCAACAGTTTGCGCAAAGTACGATAATGCTCACAGAACGTGCAAATTTTCCGCAATTGTCGCTTCGGGGTTTCCGCGGAAGCCCGCGCCATCTTGGGAAATTCGCGACATTCCGAGAATTTCGCGAAACCACGCAAACTATTTATTCTGAACAGCTAAGATATGCATGAGAAATCTGTAAATTGATATACCAGAGAACTAACGAGTTCATCAAACTTTTGTCCTCAAATGAGAGAGTGTAGGATAGGCGACTGCGAACCGTACGAAGCTTTCACAGACAAATCAATTTAATATTCTATCAGCAGTTACAAATCCAAATTTCTGTAGTGGGGACAGTGCTTATTGTTGTGCACCAAACTCGATCCACTACGTTATGGTCGTCACTGTAGCACAGCAGATTTGAATTGTTTTACAAAACCCTTTAATTTATATCCATTGACGACGAGCTGTTTTTTTGACGACTTTCGCTGTGGACGAACCGTTTTCGGACATTTTCACAGCTGGTTGCATTGTGGCGACTCGGTGGGCTCATGGCACCTAGATGTTACCCGAGGCCTGAGGCTCGCCCGATGCTAAGCGACGTACCAAGCCTACTGCGCACTAACGCGCGACTGAACAGAACATGAAGTCAATTAAGTGGTTTATCCTTATGACACTAAACTACAGTTAAAATAGATAAAATGAATACTACACTAAAACAAAACAAATACTACTACTACTAAAACACGGGATGAGGGCCCGTCCCATGCTACCGATGCGCGTCTGCAGATAATCTCAAAGAAATACATGTGGCTCTCGAGGTTTCAACAAATCCACCGCGCAACGCCAAGGTTTAGACGACGGCACGTCCCCTCCTGCTCCTGTAGATGATTTCCGGATAGTATCAGGCGCGTCGACTTGCGCTAACAAAAAGGGAATTCGTTTTCTAATCCAAAAGACATCCGGCTCAACTGCTCTTACAAAAAAAGGACAGGAGCATGGCGGCTGAAACGTAATTCGAACAGGGAATTCAAAATCAATCAATAAGACGAAGGCGAACAAGGCAACCAAATGAGGCGCCGCCGCTTTATATAGCCGCCTGGCTGGCAACGAGCCAATTAAGGAGAGGTCCGGAGACGATCGCGGCAACACGCGTCTCGGCTACCGTAATCGTCGCCGGATAGCGCGGTAACCGATGCCCCCGGCCTCCGTACTTCGAGGAGCGCCTTGCATCGCGAGACGCGACACTCCCCCCCCCCCCCCCCCCGAAGCAGTGGCTTGAGCGTTCGAATGGTGGTTACGTGATGACACCGGGGATTTGCGGTTACTACCTTTGCCTGAAATTTTAGACGGTAAAAAGTAAAAGAAAGTACCATCGGTAGCACAGTAGGAGCGCGCGTGAAAGATGGAAATTCAGAAAACAACCCGTCCCGTGAGAAAATCTTCAACTTGGAGAACGGCGCATGAAGCGCAATTACACCATAACACCAGGATAAAACTCAAAATATCTATGAAATGAGTATCATGTGTTGTGAGTAAATACTGAGATAAAGTATGAAGTGGCTAAATGTGCTTAAAAGTGATAATATGTAAAAATGACTAACTACTACGAAGAACTACTGCTATGAAGGTGATTAAGATATGATCATAGAGCGATGTAGAACGGGTAGTGGCTGCTGCTAGTGAGCTGGAAACCTGGACCATTCCATTGATATAAGCAAGACAAACACAGCTCCATTTGACAGGCGTTACGAACTGATGGAACGGTACTGTAACACATGATCTTTACATAGTCAACGAGCGATAGAAAAGAACCATGCTTACTACACAAAGTTAGACGGAAAGATCCAGCATACAGCCACACACCTCAAAACCCTACAATGCGCGCACCTAAACGACACGTGAGGACGCGCGAGCTTACTGCCGATGTTCAGGGCGCAAGGATGAAAAGTCTCCCCTGATGGTATGGGGCAATGCAATATGCCTACGTGCAAGGAACTCTAAAAAACTGCAACCAATGCTGGTTTTCAATAGCAAAAACGCGAAATCGTAAAAACTGCTGCCGAATGGATATAGTCCGGCCTCTTGCGACCACGGTAAATAGCCGAAAGCAAATGCGCGCAAGCTGAATTCTATGTAGCGCGTAATTGAACGTGGACTAGGTAAAGCAGTATGCGATAATGCTAAAGACATGTTTGGAGCGCAGCTGAAAGTGAGATCCATGCTACGCGCGACAGTCCGGGTGAGAAGCAAAGGCAGTAAAACGAGTATAAGATTGAAAAACAAATTATAAGCTTATCTGAGTATCATCCTGCGCTAGCGCAACCGAGAGCCACCTGTATTGGCCTTGAGAGTGGAAAAGAGACGGTTCAACGCAACAGCTCGAGCAGGCAATAGACTGGCAGGGAGGCAAAGGGTGACCTAAATTTTGAACACAAAAGGGGAAAAAGTTAAAAAGTAACAAAAAAAGTAAAAAGGAAAACACATAAAAAACTGAATGATTTAACTAAATCTATACTTGAAAAGAGTGAAAAATATTAGTTCAGGATTAATGGTTCGCCTTTCCCTTCCTCAGTGGTCATTTGCTCTCGTGCGTCGCTGTCGAAGCGGAGGCTTCCGGGTAG